ATTTTTATTGATAATATTATTAAGATAGTTTAGGGATCTTATTGCTTTGATTCTACCTGTCTGACTAGCCCTGATTGTGAGGGATCCACACCAACATAAAGACGGCGATAATCAGTTAAAATGTCTCCGCCTTAAGGGACTTACTTTATATCTCTTAAAGAGAAAAAAAGTCCCTTATTGTTGTCCTCGCCGAGATATGTTTACAAGTATGAATTCTACAGCACCCCTAAGTATCCGTGGAGGACATGGACCCAAGCTTACAGTGCCATCTTCGTGCCCAGAAGCTACATGGCTGTGGCGAGTACAGTCACGAACGAAGACCGTCTGGCGTGCGAGCGGGGCGGCACCAGGCGGACGGACCCTCTGGTTCCCAGCCCCTAGTCTAGTATGAGGCTCTGCTAGATGGACAGGATACTTCCTCAGTATTTTGCAAACCCACAATGAAAAATCTAATTAATAGTAATAAACAGGGTTCTCTCAGGAGCTACGGTGTTCGTGCTCCTTGCTCGAGCTCCTCTTCGGGAATAAAACCAAAAAGGAAACGGGGAAAAAGGGGTGGGAGGTGGAGAAAGAGAAGGGCGGGAGCTAGAAAGACACAGTTAAAGAGTCAGCGGTTGGGAAAGAGTAATCTTAGGATTCTCTACTGGAATTGTCGTAGTCTGTAGCAGAGGGGGCTCGTGGCTTAAACCCAGTGTTACGGAGCAGACATCATATGCCTCCAAGAAACCAGACTAGGTGACAGGAACTTCAATGTTGCCGACTTTGCAGCGACTCTTTACAACAGGGAATGGAATGGACAGGTCACCCTGATACGATCAGCAATCAGACATCAGGAATTGGATATGAGTCGATGAGCGTCAGAAAACCTACACCTGCTTGCAGTGGAGCTCACTGATCAGCCTGTAAGAAATGTTGTCAACGTCTACGCCTGCAACGGTATAGTCACTGAGGAAGAGTGGGCCAAACTTGGCGAGATGGAGGAAACACTACCTGGAAAAACAATCTTTTGTGGCGACTTCAACGCACGAGGGAGTGATTGGGGAAACACAGTGATAAACCCCCAAGGGACGAGACTGGAAAATGCCCTGGACAGATGCGACTTCACCGGCATCAACAATGGCAGCATGACCAGACTAGCCACAAGCGATGGGGACTCCGACAGTGCTATAGACCTTGCACTCGTCTCGGTAGACCTGACAACAGACTGTACATGGAGAGTATTACACAACTAAAGTGGCGATCATATTATTATTATCCCATGCACAGTGTTTGTAAAGAGAGGAAGAAACAGCAACCCTCCAAAACAGAAAAGAGTCTTCTTCTACCCCGCGGAAGGCAACGACTCCATCAGTGTACTGCGAAAGAGCTCCAGGCCACCCAGAGTACAGCATAGAGTAGTGGCACAGCAGCCACCCTGATGGAATGAAGA